TCGCGCGTTTGTTCTTTCACCCAAATCGACGGCATAGACCTAGTAAAACTGGCTCGTCTTCAAAAAGAAGATGCCGAACTTCAACATGAGTTGTCGAAAACAACTCTACAATTAGCTGAGAAACCCTTAGGTATGGGAAGAGATACTATTCTATGTGACATTTCCACGAGTACTCCTCGCCCCATCGTGCCTAAAAGTTATCGCCGTAACGTCTTCAATACGTTGCATGGCTTATCTCACCCAGGTATTCGAACTACTGTCAAGCTCGTAACTAGTCGATTTTGTTGGCTTGGCATTAATAAAGAAGTAAGGGAATGGGCACACACGTGCTTAGCTTGTCAAAAGTGCAAGGTGATAAGACACACCAAAAGCCCACTTGGCACCTTTCTTCTCCCTGACGCTCGTTTCGAACACGTCCATATAGATTTGGTTGGTCCCCTTCCTGAATCACATGGATATACTTATATTTTAACTTGCATAGATCGCTTCACACGATGGCCGGAAGCAGTACCCATCAAGGATGTATCTGCTGAAACAGTCGCACGCGTCTTCGTAGAAAGATGGATTGCTAACTTTGGATGCCCATCTTCCATAACAACTGATCGCGGGCGGCAATTCGAAAGTGGCTTATTCTTTGCCCCGACTAAAATCATAGGTCGCATGCGATTTCGAACAAGAGCCTACCATCCTCAAGCTAATGGTATGGTAGAACGTCTACACAGACAGTTGAAAGCTGGTTTGTCAGCTGCAAACACCACCCATTGGACTGAATCCCTGCCGTTAGTTCTCCTAGGGATACGAAACGCCTTGAAAACCGATGCTGGTTGTACTAGCGCCGAGCTAGTATATGGCACGACACTGCGACTGCCTGGTGAATTTGTTTCTCCCTCGAGCTTCCCACCAGTGGTAGATCACGCTTCATACGTCAGCAGGCTTACAAACGCAATGCGTTCAGTTAAACCTGCTCCCCTTCGCCCACAGTCCATTGATGTTTTCTTTCATCCGTGTTTAAAAACTTCTTCACATGTATTTGTTCGTCGCGACTCTGTGCGCAGACCACTAGAATCCCCATACAACGGACCTTATAACCTAATTAAACGTTCTGATAAATTCTTTGTCTCTGACAAAATAAACAGCCGCGAGGACACCGTCAGTATTTACCGTCTGAAACCGGCTTACTTGGAGGGTTATCCTATTAGCATAGAGCTCAGCGTACCCCAAAATCCACAAGTAACAGAAGATCGTTTAGACATCGATGAAGTCACTAGCGAGAAAACCCGTTCTCAGAATATCTGCACACTTATATGACATAACGAAGTCGTGTGATTCACGCAACTTATTCGTTTGTGGTACTAAGTATTTTTTTGACGTATCAATTTTTTTATTAGCATAGACAGACAAACCATTAGACATACCACCAAGCCGCTCGGAAGAGTTTTTTCACCCGAAGGGGAAACATCGAGTTTTTTACTTCCGGCTGGTTCTGTCTTAGGGTCCACACCACCTCACAAGGGGGGAGTGAGCTGTAGCGGTAAATAATTCCCCAAATTTATTGACCACAGCAATCACTCACCATTGAATGCTGGCCACCACTGTTAAGTCGACTTGTTTAGCTGAAGGCTCCCGGTCAAACATCCCCGCCATTTGGTACCCCGTCGTGTCACGTGCACGATCACTAGCTAGCTAAGCGCTCGTCCGAAGGCTTGTTTTGGTCCCGAAATATATAATAATGTGTATTCTCATATAAACATAAATTTACATGAAAATGCATGCCATTTTTACAAGCACGATCAAGTGTGATATAATATCAAATCGTAGATTGTCTACAAGTTAATAATGTTTCAACAGTTAAATATTTGATTTATATATAAATACACTCATTGTCTGAACTAGGCTGTATAGTTATTGAATTGTACAATTGTCCTCCAGGTTGAGCGGGAAAATGGACTTCGTTTCGTTTTCATCCCGGTGTAAGGATACAGACTGTCTCCAGGTGTTATCGCGCAATGCCATCGGTTACCGCGCTCACGGCAACAGACGTTATAATCGCCTATTTTTTGGAAATAGATTATATTTCACTAGTTTTAGACTTCTGTAGCCGGATGGCAGTAATTTGCTGTATTTTGTTCTTAGTAGAGCGTAAAATTGTATATTATAGCTCGGACGAATTATCAATGAAGAAGTTATCGTTTTTAAGAAAGTTCGCATAGAAAGACTATTATTTGCAATAAAGTGCGTTGAGGGTTTGTTTTTTTGCGAGTTGTTTCAGATCTTAAGGTTGTAAATATACTCCAGTCAATGGCTGTTGTCATTCCAGTGAATCTATTAGAATCTGGCCTATGAAAGAGAAATAGCATGCAGACATAGGTTAGATGTGTGCTTTGAACATGTTAAACGTTTCTGTTATCATCCGGGATGACTGAAATACTCATAACACATCGACGACATTATGCGATGAATGAGGTAGGCAGCTGAATTTCCTGGTGATTACATCTATTTTGATGAAGTTCCTAGTTAAAAGTGCTTTGGCGAAGATGTGGTAATAGTTTAATTGACATTTGCACATGGAATTTCACAAGGCCTTAATTGCTCAGTGCATGAAATGGCATCAGAGTATATTGACATCATTGTTCATCGTGTCTCGAAGAATAGTATAAATAGTCCTTCTCAAATGTCAGAGTACTTAAAATTAGTACCAGATTTCTGTCGATTAGTAGCTAGCAGCTGTGTCATACAACTACTACACCTGTAACATAGGTTATATCAATCTTAATAATTATTTTGCTTCACATCACTAAGATATTCTGAGATCCTTAATGACTTCATTGTGGCTATGAAAGATGTAGAAGAGGCACTTATGGCTCATACATTTAAAGCAGTTATTATTAAACAAGTTATCTGTAAGCAACTTGTGATGTTCTGAATACTGCAAACTGCTGATAAGAAACTGCATCAAAGGAAAAAATGCTGAACAGCTAGAAAATACTACTGCAGTTTCGTTGGTTGTTACCTTTTGCATTTGTAACTCATCCTTCCAAAGCTGCGATTGACGCCAAACCATCCATGGTACCCCACAGGCCCTATAGAAATTTGTGAGAGATATTACATGTCAGGTTGTCTTCCAAATTGTAAGGTTGCAGATCTTTCAATTTACCTCTCACTGAAATATCACTTATCTACATCACTATGGTCTTTTCATTTGTGCACTATTACAACGCATTTTATGTTAACTGGATATGCCTTTATTAAGGCTGAGACTTACTCTTTGTGCCTATTAGTTGCTTGCTTACAGTCTATTTGTTTTTATTAGAAACACAACAACACCAGTGTTTGAACAAAGCTGTACATTCATGGAAAACGTCATATTTTCTATGCTTACACCAATATGGTTGGCATTAAACATTGCAAATGTATACTCACATTCCAAGGACATAGCACTTAGCCAAATGTACGGTGCTCATTGTTAAGGGTTTACAATTTAACTCTTATAATTTATGATACTTCACGATTGCAGTTTATAACATAACTTATTGCGCCTGTAGAAATGACATGCATTCTTTGTAAACATTGGTTTATACGAAATTTGAAATTATTATTATATGCTTGCTGCTATCCTTCAGAAGATGAATAATGTGTGTGGCAGTGAAAACCACAGAAGAATGCTGTCATGAACAAAGAATGAGAAAGGAGAATGAACCATTTTCAGCAAAGGTAGGCAAATATAAAGCGTTTAACTTTGATATTACTTCTTTCTTACTTCAGCGATTTAAAAAACACTCTGTTTACTTATTTGTAGATGTGCAGTAACGTCAGTCAACCCGGTCACAGAGATTTGACATTGCCCAAATTATTACGACAAACGACTGCGTAAAGACATTTGCTTGTTGTTATTTTTCATTAAATACATTTAATATCCTGCTTACCAGACCTTTCTTATTATATCTGAGTGTAGATATATTTGCCATGATGACTAGGTGCAGACATGACTTATTAATAAGAACTGACGAAGTAATTGGTGGCATATTTTAGTGTAAGCTAAATCTAAATACGATTGCTAAAGCTCAACGAATTCAATAATTCGTCTGGTGTAGACTTTAATTTACGCTAGATGTCAACAGCCTTAGTCATATGGATTGACATCACGCTTAAATTTACATGAAAATTTTATTTTCATTATGATACAAATTTAGTTTATTTACACATTAAGAACACGATTGATTCCTGCGATTACTCCGTCTGCATAAGTATTGGCAAACACTTCTCCAAATTTGTCATTAATTCTCTTCATGCCCGCAATGATAATCCTATTTTTGGTATCCAATATGTCATGTTGATTTCGAGGGATAACTGCTGACGTACTTTGAGATGCGAGCAAGTTGTGTGACCACGTCCATTGTTTACAATTATGCATGACATGGTTAACTACAAAAGGTGGAACAAAAAACGTTAAGATAACTATGAACTGATTACTACAGGTGCAATGATGGTAGTGCTTGTGTCCTGTTTCCAGTTAACACATCGTACACACGAATACGGTAATGAAAATTACAACTTTCCGCATATAAGAACAATAATTAATCAAGTTTCGCTCGACATACATTAAAATCGGGGTCATAAAAACGCAAATATACCTGTGAAATATGGCTTTCTGAAATGGACCAAAAGCAAGTGTCTGCAGGGGTACCGACAGGTTTGAAATGTAACGCACGTGCAGGTGCAAGCACTCAGATCCACCTCCACTAGATTCCCGTTGTCTTGGAAGAATACATAATCGAAGGATTCAACCTCAACAACATCCCATCTTTGCCTTTCGTATTCACGGATAACCTTCCTCGCAGGGTATGGCGTCAGCAATCGTATAATTGGGAGTAGACGTGGTGAACAGGGATAGGTGAAGCATCGCGACTGAGCAATAGTCGCCTCCTGCTGTATCCTTGCAAAACTTTGTTGATACCATTTAAACACCTTCAGCATACTTTTATGCAAACTATCTGATCTTTGTAAGTAACGTTTCATTTGCTTGTGGGAACTCTCGACGCGATTATTTGTATCGTTCCCAAAAGTCAGCACGTTGTCTCTGAAACATGCTGCCCACAATTCTCGTCGATGCATCCAACGACGTTGTAGATATTGACTGACAGTAGCACCCAATCTGCTAATAACTCTGAAGTAGAAATTAAATCTGGAAAATGAGAACATTAGAGGCATTACTCTGATCTTCTTTTACACTGCACTAGACGGCATTAATAATTCTTCACAATGGGATTTCTTGTCTACGAATAAAATGTAAAGTATTCTTTGAAAAACTTACTTTACGACAGAATGCTCGGCAAACATGGAAAGAACACAAAACAATGTGCGCTTCTCTGTGCGTCAACTTGACGGCTGCTATTTCAGCTTGCACACAATCCATAATGAAAGATTCTGTTTTGGAGGTGTCTTCCATTATTCGAGGAAAACAGTCTAATATCCAAACTACATCACGTTTGAATTCTTTTCTAGTCCACGCAAATAAAACTGGTCGTCCGCGACCGAAATTATCCGTCACAAGTAACTGGAACAAAGAATACCTGCACGTTGACTAATGATTTGGTAAACTTACTTCCCCTTATTCGTATTATACATCGAGTCGATACCAACAACTTCAGGGAACTGTTTATACAATTCCATTTGCTCATAAGTTGCAAAACAAATTCTTGTTAGTGAATTCCTGATCGGTTCATCGGAATAATACTCCATTAACTTCCCACGGGATTTTAGGAATTCAAAAATGTCACGACGACTTGAAATACCTTTAGTATATGACAAGTACGTTAACGTTACCTTTATTCACTGCGGCTTTCATATTTTTAACGTCAGTGCGAGTTATATCCTTGTGGTACTTCTCCTTAACATGCATTATTATTTCATCGGATGAGTGGGATTGCTGAAGAAGTGGTTCAATATTTTCTTTCTCTTCAGCTGTTAGTCGTCTATACCATGGGTCATTCCGCATGTACACCCTGCTGCATGGATGGTTATGCACCATATTGTGGGAAGCAATTATGTATTTACTATAACGCAAAACCACGCGAAATGAAGACGAGCAATTGCAACATTTAGACCTGAAATATTCATGAAATCATACTACACTTCTTCCTACGACTTGTTTTTCAATTTCAAACCAGGTCTTGTACGATTCACTCCAAAAATGCATTTAAAACCAACATAAGCGTACTTAAACCTGTCATCCGGTATCGTTTTCCTGCAATTATGAACATAGTGAGTGCAGGATAACTACACTGTTAGCATTAAATGACTTCCTCACTTTTTGAAATTCTGCTAATGACTTCTCAAATTCATCCCAGCTGAAGAAACGCCTTCCAAGTATGTATTCAGCGAAAATTCCACTTAAATCTGTGGTCCTGTCACTCGAATTGACTACCTGCAACGGACTAAAATAAAATTATCAATTAGGATCCATATATGTCACAACTATTCCAAGATAAATCGTAAACAAACAACATCGAAATACAGGGATGATCGATAACCACCAAGAAAATACCGCACGTATAACCTAAATTACAGAAAAACACAAGAACCCACCGGTTCGTTGACATCGCAAGCAACCAATAGACCAAACAACGAATTGTACGACAAATAAAGCCTAGTACATGCACAAACAAAGAAAAACAAAGCGTTACAATAGTCTAATACACGTTTATAGTAATCACATATGCTGGCAAACGACGCAAACACAACCACGCAAAGACAGCACCCGACAGAAAATAGATATAGGCAGTTTTTTATTGGCTGTTGGCTAGCTGGCTTTCTATTGGTCTAAAATATAAATTAGAGCGCCAATCTCTTTATTTTTACACGGAAATTTACAGTCAGTAAAATTTTGGGCTTACCTTACCATAATATAATGGCGTGTTAATTTTTTTGGTGTGAGTGTAGTGTGACAGTCACACGCTATTTGGATGCATTGTTGATGTTTAAAGTATATTGAGATGTATGAGAATGTCCACAAAGTGAATATAAGTCAACAATAATTTTGATGCATTTATTTTAAGTCCAAAATAGGATGTATGCCATTTCGGTTACTAGGCGAATATAATTCAACCACCATTTCTATAAATTTAATGTGTCTTGAATTATTACATGTAGAAATATGTATGTAGTAACTAATCTACTTTTTTAAGTTGTCACTTCAATGATTTGTGGGAATTGTGCGTACTACGTCAGCATAAATGAAGTAAATTGACAAGGTCATGGCCAGTGGTATATAAGCACTGAAATGTATACTAATGTTTATTTACTTGAAGTCATAGTGTTGTGCATGTTAGGAATTGTTAAAACGATTAAATGATGTTGCAAAGTACTCCTACTGCGTCTACTTCAAGAAATATATCATCTTTATTGTGTGATGTAACAGCTATATTCAAAAGGATAATGTTGTGTTGTATATTTTATACATGGACACAATTTAAGGAAGCTTTAGACACATTTATGAAGGTACTAACTAAGTTGTTCTTTATTTCTTTGAAAGGAATCCAATACATCCTATCGTGTTGATTCAAGTAAAAAAGATCCATCCGGTGCTGATGACTACAAGTTTGTGAAGTTTAAATGCACTTTTTGAAGTCATCGTGCTCCCCGAGGTGCTGGCTTTAGGAACAGAGGGTAAGTTGGCTGCGTGTGTAAATTTTAAAAATTTTAAGGTTCAAAAGTACATCATGTCAGTCAATAATTCTAGTCCAGCGGAAATCCAACGTATACATGATAACCAAGTACAAAACTGTGCATAACCATCCCTGCACAGCAAGTTTCATGTCCACCGATGTATCTAGACGTCGGTTATCATCACAAGAAATGGCAATTATCCAACCGTTCATTGAAAGGAATACTGATGTTCATGAAATCATGGATCTATCACATGAGAAGTTCGGAAAAGCGCTCCTGTATAACGATATTAAAAACATGCGGGCTAAGATAAATAAACGTAAGTCCTATCAAAATAAATGGTGCAGTAGAATAGAAATTGGTTGTTTGGAAGACCTGCTTCATCGACTGAGGCAGACAGGTCCAGTTAAAGTTTTGCAGGACAACGCAGGCTTTGTATCAAAAATCATTTTTGCTCGTAATGATATGATAGACGTGTATCATAAGTTTCCAGAAGTAGTTGGAATCGATTGTACTTACAAAACGAATAAGATGGGGTACGTTTCAGTACAACAAGGTATAATTCCTTTTCCAAATTTGTTACAGATGGCCTTTATATCAGTTTGTTGTGACTGATGGATTCGGAAGAGGAAGGACTGTTTTGTTTGCCCTTACTAGGAGAGAAACGTTTGCAGATATCAAGGAGATGTTGCAAACGTTTAAGAGATTTATGGTGGATACATCGAAAACATTAACATTCACTATCGACTGTGCAACTGCACAGATGAAAGCCCTAAAGGAGGAATTCCCTATTTGCAATATTGTTTTGTGTCTTTTCCATGTATGCCAGGCATTCAGAAGGAAGGTAAGTTACATTTCCATTAACTGACATAGGGAAAACAGTTCCCAGACCAGCTTGTTAAAAAGTGGTTGTATCGAATGGCGCACACGCGTACTTATTACAGGTAGGTTACCAAATCAGAGTATATTGCCAAAGGTTTTGGCGTTACCTAAACCTCATAAGTATTGTAGACGCTGAGGCTGGTGCTTACATTAGAAGGTACTGGCTAAGAACACGCAAATATTGGGCTGCATCGTGCAACAGGTTCACCATCAGCATGGGGAACAATACTAACAACAGAGTTGAGAATGCTCATAGGCAGTTGAAAAGATATCTACGTAAAGGTGATCCTATGGAGCTGACGCTATGGAAAATATGGAGGTGGATCGACCACACAACCATGCGTAAAATACGTCAGGGCCAGTGGATGCTTGCTAAATACTACAATTACGATGTAAGTTCGAAGATAATTTACGATTTATCCTAGGTGCCTAATTCCCTGAAGTCTCATTTACGGAGTCTCACACCGTTTGCTGCCCAGAAAGTTGTGTTAGATTTACAAAGGCGTTCCTTCTTCTTCCATTCAATATCTTCTACCTCAGTTGTTTACGCAGAAGGTGGTCATATATTTTTCGTAAACAGGAACGAGGCGAAATGCACATGTTGGACATACTGCGCACACAATTTGCCTTGTGCACATGTCGTTGAGGCGTTCTTGAACTCACATCTAAATTGTGGTATGTTCCATTTCTTTAAATGTTACTCTTAGATATTCTGAGGAATAGTGAGAGGTGGACACGTGTATATAACACAACGGAAAACATTCCGAGGGCCATCCGGTTAATGCCGGAACCAAACAACGCGTTTCGAAATGCTTATGAACGCTTAAGATATCGTCTCAACAGTCTGAACCGAAGAAATCCGGATGCTGCACTGCGGGAAATAGCGGAGTTTACCAGAAGGTTGGACAGTTTGCTAGCAAATGAACCGCAAACAACTTTAAGATTACGACGTGCCCCTGATAATCGATTATTTTTGTGAAAATATTTGTATTACCTTTTTATTTCCATTTGTATTCAGAATATAAACATGTGTGTATAAACTGCAGTTACACTTCCTTTCGTTTCAAAAGGCTAAGACCGACAGTTTAAAGAATACTTTGGTTGATTGTTTCGTTAAGAGAGCGCTTTAAAAGTCACTTAGAAATTAAAACGATCTGTGCTTTATTTACTACGTTTGTCAGCCGAGCATTTGCGGTTCATAGCATATCCTGAATAACGGTGATTAATACGATTTATCACTTAGACCGCAACACCACCAAGCCTACTATATTCATAAACTTATTCTAATCTATTCATCGATAAGGCCTTTTTATGGTAACTGAAGCTCTTATTTACCCACCATTTTCTCAAATAACGCTGGTCATGCTTACAATGATACCTAGGTGCTGAATTGAGTCTTTTAGTTCTGAAATAACGCTAGTCCGAGCCTAATTTGTCCTGTGAGGGATGGAACAGAGCGGATAAGCAAACCCAGTCGGTTCCATTTACTTTCAATCATGATAAGAAACCAGCTCTTAGTTTTAATCTCAAACAATAGCAGAACGGTTGGGCAGTTTAATTATTGAATAATTTTTTTTTATAATAAAAGTATACCTAATTTGGCAGAATCATTGCAGGTTCACCATGACCCTTGAC